AAACAACGAAACGACATCAAAGATAACCAAAGAAAAGTCAGACGGTATACTTAAGTTGTTGAGAAATTTTGCCAAAATGAAAGAGTTTGAGACATTAAATTTTGATAAAATGGTAACCTTAGAGAGAATAGTACTTAAATATTTAGTTAAATTGCTTAACGGTGAGTTTATGTCAGCAACTATAGGTCATAACGGTAAATCTGCATTATGGATTTTTGGAAGGCAATATAATTTAGGAAAGTCTGGATGAAAAACCTTAAGGGAAAAACCTAAAGATTTAGATATTTGTTTTTTTTGGATTAAATTTGTGATAAGTTTATGAGTTTTTCTGTTTATGTAATCGGTAGGGTCATTAGTTAAAGGTTTGTATGTAAGTGTGTCATTTAAACTTTTTGCATAATTTTAAATCTCTGGCAATTTCTAACTGTAAAGGATTGGAATTGGTATTTAAACTTTTTTTAATAAAAGATAAAAAATTATTGCAACAAGTTAATCTTAATTTTGATTCCTTTTCTGGATCTTTTATTTTACAAATACCCAACCTTAGGTTGCTAAGGATCTTTATGAAATTGAAATGTTTTTTGGAAGGGGGGAGAGAGAATTTTGGACCGAGAGAAAAAATATATTTTAAATGTTGGGGAATGGTTTTATTAGAAACGTTCTTAAGCCATTTGTCTATCAAATCGTCTTTAATCAGAGGGACCGAGCGTTTATTATGTGAAATTAAAAGTTTTTCAAATTTATTTTTGCTGGACTGTTTGAGACTGGAGAAAATTCTATCAAATTTTAATTTTTCAAAGAAATTATTTAAAATGAAAGGCCCTAAAATGGATGATAAAACATTTACTAAATTGTTTATGTTAGAGGTGAAATAAGAAATAAGAGAAAAAGTATGTTTTATTTCGCATGACATAGCTTCAAAGCTGACGCTTGTCAACTTTTTCTTTAAAGACGACAAAGTTAAATGATTAAATTTATTGAGAAAATTGTTTGAATCAAAGAATTTCGGAATTATTTTGAACTTCCTACAGCGTAACAGAAAATTGCGTCTATTAATTGTATTTGCTAATTTTAAATTTAGAGATGAAAAATCAACTAGCTTTAACCTGATGTGGTGTCCATAGTGTTTCTCAATAATGTTATAAAAAGAAGACGATCCATCTTGAAATTGGCATCTAGTAGAGTAACTTGTAGTTTTCGAAGTCCCAATGTATCTTGATGGAGACCATGGTTCAGCAGAAGGACGGCGGTATGACTTGAAATTTGATTTCCTATTGTAAAAATGTGTAGAGAAAGTTCTTGAGTAGGATCCACAGAAGAAAATGTAGATAAATCATAAAATTTTAAAAAAATATTTTCCTTTAAAGGCCTAGGAGTGATATCTTGAAGATTTTTTCTTCAACGTTGAAACATATTGAAATGAATAAAACAGCCAATGCGTCGAATGTAAAAAATTTATTTTAATGTTTTATACGTTTCGGGACTAGATGTGTCTCATTATTCAGCTAAAAGAAATTTACATTATAAAGAAAAAGTTTAAAAAAATGAATTTATATTGGAAAAATTAATTGAAAACAACAATTAAACACACCAGATCAGGAAAAACCACACTATATCAAAACATTCTACAACACCACAATCACATATTACTACTGTAGGAAAGCAAAAATAATTTAAGAAAAGACCAAAAAAGGTAAAAGTAAAATTGTATGAAACACATAATTTTATTTTTAACAGATAGCATAGCAACAAGGTTTGACTTATTTGCGACGGCGACGAGTAGTTCGTTCTGCTGCCAGAACGCGAGCATGGAAAAGTGGGGATATCAGGGGCGTAGTAGAGAGTCAGATTTACAGAAATTAATTATATTTTGATAACTTTCTGAAAGGAAGCAAGAAGAACTGCGTTTGTTCACACAATTTGAATTTAAAAAGATAAAACATGATTCAGAAAATCTTCTAAGGTCTATATTTTTTTCTTTATATAAAATTATAGGATGGTCAGTATTAAGAGAGTGTTTGAAATTAATAATGTGCTCAGAAAACATTGTTTTAAATTGTCTAGGGTTTTTTGAATTATAAATATGTTGATTCATTCTTTTATGTATTGGGAACTTTCACCGATGTAACAACTGTCACAATCTAAACAATTAATTTTATAAACGGCATCGATGATTCTGTCAGACCGAGATTTTGATTTTAAAGTAGAAAACAGGGTACTGAGTGTGTTATTAAAAGTAAAAACTAAAAGAAAAAAGTTTTTTTAAAAAATAAGAAAAGCTCCTTAAATAAGGTAAACAAATAATGCCTTTATATTTGCTAAATAAAAAAAAAGAATTTGAATCAGCGGTAAAATATTTTTGAACAACGGATGTGACATTATTATTATCAATATTAGTAACGTTTGATTATTTTAACCTATTTTTAATTATATTATTGATTAAATGTAAAGGATAAGAGTTATTTGTGAGAATGGAGCGGACTAAATCCAAGTTTTTATTCCAAAAAGTTTTATTGCTTAAAAGAATAGCTCTATCAATGAGAGAAATGATGATGGAAATTTTTACAGAACGAGAATGAAACGATAAGTAATCAATGTATCTACCAGAAGAAGTTGGTTTCTGAAACCAATCAGTTAAAATATAATTGTTTTGGTTTCTAATAAGTTTAATGTCTAAAAAACTAATGGAATTGTCATCTTCAAACTCACAAGTAAACTTTAAATGATTATTAAAAGAATTAAAGGCATCAAGAGTGGAGAAGATGGAATTATTTTCTAAACACAAGAGAACGTCATCAACATATCTAAAGTAAAAGAAAGGTTGAACAGGAAGTTTGGGTAGAACAAAATTTTCAAGTAACTGTAAAGTTAAATCTGCTAAAGGGGGACTAATGCTAGAACCCATAGGCATACCAAAAATCTGAGCAAAAAATTTATTGTCAAAACAAAAATATGTATTATTGAATATGAAATTTAAAATGTATTTAAACCAAAATAAATTGATAGTTGTATGTGGTTTGATGTCATTCCGACGATCCGAAATGGCATCCAACGCAAGATCCCATGGAACGTTAGTAAACAACAAAACGACATCAAAGCTAACCAAAGAAAAGCTAGACGGAATACTTAAGTTGTTGAATTAAATTAAATTCTTAAATTTTTGCCAAAATGAAAGAGTTTGAGACATTAGATTTTGATAAAATGGTGACCTTAGAGAGAATAGTACTTAAATATTTAGTTAAATTGCTTAACGGTGAGTTTATGACAGCAACTATATGTTAATAATAATGTCACATCCGTTGTTTAAAAATATTTTACCGCTGATTCAAATTCTTCTTTATTTAACAAATGTAAAGGCATTATTTGTTTACCTTATTTAGGGAGCTTTTCTTATTTAAAAAAAAAAATATATCTGTTGAAGGTTTTCATTTAGTTTTTACTTTTGATAACACACTCAGTACCCTGTTTTCTACTTTAAAATCAAAATCTCCGTCTGACCACCAACAGAATCACCGATGCCGTTTATAAAATTAATTGTTTAGATTGTGACAGTTGTTACATCGGTGAAAGTTCCCAATACATAAAAGAATGAAAAGAATCGTGACGCACCATTCGCCGCACGGATTCGTACAGTGGAGACGCGGCATTAGAAATTTTTAATCTGCGCATATTATTCATCATGTTCATTCGTGTTCGTTCGTTAGGTGTGGCGCACCTTAACATATAACAACTTAAACTAACCATACGAATCTTATTCACTGCACTATGCAGTCGCAGCATAGGTAAAGAAAATCACAATCAGTTTGAGAATTGAGATAAAACCTATGATATACAGTAAACCCTTGCTTTACGCGGCAACTGCGTACCGTGCAGTATGGGAACCGTGCTATAAGAAACTCGTATTTAACATACAATTCAGGCTCATTCGTAGTGGGTTCTATGGAACCTTACATAGTGCAGTATGGGATCCGTGCTATGAGAGACTCACAGTTGGTACAAATCGCACCATTTTTATCGTGCTGTACGGAGACAAAAAAATACAACTTGAAGTAGGAGTAATACGGACGAAATGACATGTAGGACATTGACACCTTATTCAAAAATTGGCGCGACGCGGTAGTCAGCTCAAACGTGTTCTTAGGCAGCTATTATATAATCAGGCATGTCTAAAAGATAAAAGTCGATAACAAAATTTACATCAATACCCTTTTGTACAACGAACTTATGAGCTGTTGACCACATACCGTGTAATAAGAAGTGCGTGTAGTCGGAGGGATGTCGGATTTATAGCTCCGTGTAGTATGGGAACCGTGTACCCAGAGTGCCGTGTAAAGCGAGGTCCTACTGTATTCATATACTCTTTTATCTATGGATATATTCATTTAGAGATATGACAGTTGAAGTAATTTCAATTTACTTATAATTCGAATTTAAATGTTGATAACACTTACATATCACGATATTTATACAAACATTAACCTATAGAACTGAAAGAAAAGAATGAGATAAATATAATGAATATGAAATATAATGAATTAAATGTATTATAATGAATGTTAATGTCAACGCTCTTAAGCATTATTTGTTAAAAATCATGTCCATATTGTGATTAATTTTGTGTTAATACACCCATGTATGACTAAAATTTTTTTAAAACTAAATATAAAATTATCAAAGCGAGTTAGTTCGATAGGTGTCTCTGCGCCCGCTAAGAGTGTCTTATCCCTGTTAACTTGATAGGATGTGGCTATGTACGGAAAAGTAGAGTCCAGGAGAGTCTATGTTATCTTGATTAATTGGCGATAAATATAATTTGTTTTTGATGTGTAATGTGAGAATAATAGTTTAAAAAAGCGGCTTAATAAGAATCAGTTATAAAGCAGTATTAGTATTTATTGGTATTCTTCAGTTATAGTTTTAGTACAATTTGAGAGTGATATTAAGTGATTCACATTATCCAGCGGGTTATAATATTTAAGATTTTATTTTAACGTGCGACGATGCCACGAATTCGCAGAGCGGCAAGTAATTTTGGAAGACGTACTCGGCAAGCTCGAGCAATCTATGAACGAAGATTGAATAGGACCCATGAACAACATATGACGGACAATATGAATTTGAGAGAGCAAGTAGCAAATACACGTGCCAATGAAAGTTTAGAGAGACGTACTCAACGACTGACAGATATGGCATTAAGAAATCGAGAGGTGCAACGAGGTGCGACCGCCGCCATTAGAGAAAATAATCAACAACGAGTTAATAATCACAGAGCATTTTTACGCGCATCACTTTTGTGCCTGGCGTTTAATTATGATCCTGAAATTGATTATTCATCACACTCTTTAATTACCATTGGTAATATGGACAAAGTATGTAAACATTGTCATGCTCTAAAATTCAAAGGAGAATCAGCATGTTTATGTTGCGCATCAGGGAAAATTATATTGACAAAATTAACAACATCACCCGAACCTTTAAAAACTCTACTAGATGGAACAACGTCTCAATCAAAAATAATACTGAAAAAAATTCGCATATTTAATTCATATTTTCAGATGACGTCATTTGGTGCTACGAAAGTATTTGAAAATGAAGATGGTCGAAATTTTGAATCAACATTTAAGATACAAGGTCAAGTTTACCACCCTCAAGTTTCCCATGCCTGATGTGAATCCGAAATTCTTACAGATTTATTTTATGGGCGATGCTGAACGACAAACAAACATGCGATGCGAATTTAATCACATACAGCTAATGAAGGAAAGAGATATTGTGAACTCTTTGGAAATATTTTTTAAAAACCATAACCAGTTGTTGCATTTGTTTAAGACTCTTTCAAGTAGACTAGAAAACGATGATTGCGCTATTATTATCAGAGCAGACAAAGTGCCGGTTGGAGAACACACTGGCGCATATAATGTTCCAACAGTCAATGAAGTCGCGGTCGTAATAGCTGGTGATCTATGTGAGGGGCGTGATATACGTATACAACGGAGAGATAATACCATGCAGATAATACAGGCAGTATCGATTGATATTTTGGAAAGGTGAAGATGGGTACCATAAAAATATTAAACAAAGGGATCCAAATACAAGTAAAAATCTTATTTTTATAAAAAAAATTCAAATAATAATAATTAAAATAATTTTAATATATTTTATTCCAGATGCAGAACTTGCCAAAAAAGTAAGTGCCATGGACTTTTACTGCTACCGATTAATGATTCGAGATAATGAAGAAAATAACATTCTTAAATGCAGACAGCTGTTCCATCAGTTCATGGTCGACATGTATGTGAAAATTGAGAGTGAGAGATTGAGATTCATAAAGTTTAATCAAGCCAAACTCCGCGCTGAGGAATATATACATTTGCGTGATGCAGTACTTGGTAATGTAGATGCAATGAATGATATTAGTCATATTGATACTGCATATATTCTTTCATCTTCTTATATTGGAAGTCCGCGACATATGCAGGAGTACATTCAAGATGGTATGGCTTATGTTCGTGCATATGGCAGACCTGATCTGTTCATTACCTTTACGTGCAATCCCAAATGGGATGAAATAAAAAAATTGCTGATGCCGGGACAAACAACGATGGATAGGCATGATATAACTGAACGAGTTTTTAAACAGAAGTTGAAATCATTGATGAATTTGATAGCGCATCATTCTGTTTTTGGTGAAACACGCTGTTGGTTATACTCAGTAGAATGGCAGGAAAGAGGTTTACCCCGTGCACATATTTTGTTGTGGTTAATTGATAAGGTACGTTCTGTAGAGATTGACAATATTATCTCAGCAGAAATTCCTGATAAAAATGTTTATGAGGAATTGTTCGATATTATAACTACTAACATGATACCTAGTCCATGCGATACTCTCACCATTATGTCACCATGCATGGTGAATGGAAAATGTACAAAACATTCTCCAAAATCATTCCAAAACGATACTATCACCGACATTGATGGTTACCCCGCTTATCGGCAACGTGACGTTGACATTGGTGGACAATGTTTTGAATTGCGACTGTCGAATGGCGGGGTAATAGATGTTGATAGTCGATGGGTAGTTCCTTATTCGCCTTTGCTATGCAAAACCTATAAAGCACATATAAATGTCAAACTGTGCAGCTCGGTGAAGTCAATAAAATACATATGCAAATATGTTCATAAAGGGAGCGACAAAGCGATATTTGCAATTAAAAGTATTAATGAGAATGATGAAATAACTCGATATCAAATGGGTAGATACGTCAGTAGCAATGAAGCTATCTCGCGTATTTTTGGTTTTCCCATACATGAAAGGAATCCATCTGTGGTACATTTGGCTGTGCATTTGGAGAACGGTCAGCGGGTATACTTTACAGAAAACAATATATTACAACAAACTTTGACTGCTCCAAAGACTACTTTAACCGCATTTTTTAAACTTTGTAATAGATCAGATATTGCTGGAAAATTTGTTGGAACATTATTATATACAGATACACCTAAATATTTTACATGGGATGAAAAATTAAAAGATTCTAATCTAATATCTAATCTAATACCTAGAAAACGAGGTATTCCTGTTTCAGGATTCGAAGACATATATATATGACAAACAATTTGGGTAGATTGTATACTGTTCATCCTAAGCAACGAGAATGCTTTTATTTACGTTTGTTGTTGATTAATGTTATAGGACCATGATCATTCCAAAATTTGAGGACAGTCAATGGAATTTTATATGAAACTTTTTACGATGCGTGCCGTGAGTTGCACTTATTGGAGAATGATAATCAATGGGACATGACTATTGCAGATGCAGCAATGATTTCATCTGCACATAAAATTCGACAATTATTTGCAATAATATTAACAACATGTTTTCCATCAGACGCATCTGCACTGTGGAATACACATAAAGACCCAATGAGTGAGGATATTTTGCATCGGTATAAAATTAATAATTAAGATAATAATCATGAATTTTCAGAACAAATATATAACGAAGCCTTAATAATGATTGAAGATATTTGTATCCAAATTTTGAACATGTCGCTAATTCTATTTGGCTTGTCAGCACCGAGCCGAGCAGCAGTAGATATCATGAACAGCGATGCTCAACGTGAACACCAGTTTGTTAAAACTGCTTTAGCTACATTTGTTGCTAATAATGAAATATTGCTTACTGCCGAGCAACTAAGTGTATATGATCAAATCAATACTTTAATTGAGGCACAACAGGGCGGATTTTTTTTTTAGACGCACCCGGGGGCACTGGCAAAACATTTATTATTTCACTGATTCTTGCGCATGTGCGGTCGCAAAATAATATTGCGTTGGCAATAGCTGCATTAGGAATTGCAGCGACATTACTTGAAGAAGGACGAACTGCGCATTCGGCATTTAAGTTACCTTTAAATGTTCATGTTAACCCAGAAGCAATGTGCAACATGAAGAAGAAATCAGGAATGGCGAAAGTTTTGCGAAAATGTGAACTAATCATCTGGGATGAATGTACTATGGCGCACAAGCATTCGCTTGAAGCTCTTGATAGGTCGCTGAAAGATATCAAAAATAATAATTGTCTTTTTGGTGGCTGCCTATTGCTACTGTCTGGCGATTTCAGACAGACATTGCCCATTATTCCACGAGCGACGAGTGCTGATGAAATAAATGCCTGTATAAAAAAGTCTTATCTGTGGCGCCAAGTAAAGAAATTACATCTTAGTGTTAACATTCGTGTTCAATGTCTAAATGATGCTCTGGGGTCGAAATTTTTACAACAATTATTGGATATTGGTAATGGCAGAACTAATTTTTATGAAAATACAGAGTACATTCAATTCCCTGATAATTTTTGTAATATGGTTGATAGCAAAGCCAAACTAATAGAAAATATTTTTCCAAATTTAATGCATAATCTAAAGATCATGAGTGGCTACAAGAACGAGCAATTTTAGCAGCAACGAATTTGGATGTACACGAAATAAATTTAAAAATACAACAGATACTGCCAGGATATGAATTCACATTTAAATTAGTTGATACTGTTATTGATCCTGATGAAATCGTCAATTATCCAGTCGAATTTTTAAATTCTCTTGATTTACCAGGAATGCCGCCGCACAAATTACTATTGAAAGTTGGTTCTCCAATTATATTATTAAGAAATTTAAATGCCTCAAAATTATGCAATGGCACAAGATTAGATGGGAAACATTATAGAGGCAATTATTATGGGCGGAAAATTCAAAGATGATGTTGTTCTTTTGCCTAGAATACCACTAATTCCTTCGAAATCAGTAATACCTTTTAAAAGACTGCAGTTTCCTATACGTTATTGGCATATGCTATGACCATAAACAAGTCACAAGGGCAGACAATGAACTTTTGCGGTAAAAATTTAGAAAATCCGTGCTTTAATCACGGACTGCTATATGTTGCTTGCTCAAGAGGCAGAAACCCAACTAATTTCACCAAGAATATTATATATCCTTTGGCTTTACAATAAACTCTACTACATTAAAAGTTTAAAATAAAAAAGAATTATATACTATATTAACTATATAGTATAATTAATTATATTATATATATATATATTATATATATATATATATATATTATATATATATATATATATATATATATATATATATATATATATATATATATTAATTATATAATTAATATTAATTATAATAACATTAATTATTGGAATTGCATTCCTGAATATAATATTGTTAAATTGTTCATTTGAAAATAAATATAACTATTGTATTAATTAAATTTATTTATGTATAATTTAAAAAAAAAAGTTGAATGATATTGAAAAGTAAAATACTTTTTTAATATAGACATATGCAGGGCCGGTCCTGCCTTGCATGCGATGCATGATAAAAATGCGGGCGCACACCTTAGGGGGCGCCGAAACGAGTTTAGAAAATTAAATTTATAATATAATATTTATATTTTTTATATAAAATCTAGAATTATTTATATAAAATCTAGAATACTTAATGAATTATAATAAACAATCTAACTTAACTATGGATACGGAGACACAAAAAGCATATTTATGTTGCAATGTGATATCAGTAGAAACAATTAACCGATTAATAACTCTGCAAATTAGTAAATAACATCTCTGTTTATTGCTTAATCTTCTTATTCAATTTTTTCTTTGTTTGAAGTTACCGTGAAATCGAAAAAGAAATTATCTACTGTTCAATCTCATAAGCGCAAATCTGCGAAATATTAAATTAACTAATATCGGGCATTATCGGCGAAAAATTGCGAGCCGATTTAGTTGAAACGGGACTTGTTAAAAAATATAAAGAAAGTATAAAACAAATAACAAAAAAATATGAAAAATGGAAGCAAAATTTACTCTGGAACGAAAATCTTAAGGCTTTTTTAAACCTAGTGGCATACTCTAAATTTAATAATTATTAACTATGCAGAAATAATACATATCAAATATAATAAGTTTTTTCTTTTAATATAGTTGAAGAAATGTTTAATTTCTTTGCATTTTTTACTGATTTTTGGACAATATTTTTAAAATACGTTAAAAATTTGTCAACAAACTGATACTCTGAATATGACGGGAAAGCAAGGATGAATACAATTTGGGTATTACGGCATCAATAAGGAGAAGTTTACGACACAATTTTGAATATTGCAAATGATGAAAAATTAAATTCAATTAAAATTTAAAAAATCCAACATGAAATACGAGTGTTATGATTGAAAATGAAAAGCTCTCTTGGCATGATTTGCTCAATAGAATAAATCGCATAATAAATAAGTAAAATATTTTAAAACCCAAATATTAATATTGAAAAATGTTAAAAATAATTAAAAATTTAAAAATATTTGATTATAATCAACCCGCGAATCGCCTCAATTTTCTGATTAAATTTAAAGTCATTATATTTTATACGCATTTAAATTATATCTAATTTTTTGTGTACTAAATCCAGAATAATTAAAAATTAATTTATAAGAATATGTAAATATTTATATAATTTTAATGATAAACTGTTAAAACAGTTAAAATTAATAGAGGGGGGGAGCGCTAGAAAAAAAGTTGCATGCGGGCGCTGAGGACCCCAGGACCGGCCCTGGACATATGTGTACAGGACAACGTCTGTCGGGTCAGCTAGTATATATATATCTTATATATAAATATGGAGCTCTCGATAAAATGATCCGCTAAAACTCGAAAACGGCTAATTGATTTGGCCAGACATAGTCTTGAAAAATTTGTGCTAATTAGTAGATTTTCGGAAAGGTGAGATAAGAAAGACTTAGTATATCAGATTTATTGCTCTAATTGCGAACTCTTTTATATTGGAGAAACTAGCCAAAACCTGAGTAAACGCCTTCATCAACATAAAAACAACTCAAAAAATCCGAAGCAATTTAAGACGATTTTAACTGAGCATATTAAAAATTTAAACCATGATATAAATTTTTTTAACCCTAAAATTTTACATTTTGAAGAGAACGTAATTAAAAGAAGATTTCACAATCGGCCCTGAACGAAACAAACACTTGGTTTCTTAATAGCGTGTCAAAGTTTCTTAAAAAATGACAAGATCCCATCGCTTTTTAAATTTCCCGTAAAATTTGAACACATGCTAAAAACTGCTTAAAGAAAAAATGTGACATTTCTATCTTAAACTCCGAAAAGTAAATACATAGTTTCGACAACTTGTTAAGTTATTATGGTTATTACTGTGTTTTACCATTTGCGATGTTAAAAAATATATATCTTATCAATGTTCACATACTCATACCATGGATTAATAATAATGGTTTCATATGCTATATTAGGATACAAAATTGTAAGTGTATTATTATTATTGTTCTTCCATGAAATTTCTTACATATAATTTATTTAGTTTAAATTTTTATAGTTAATTTGATTACTACTGAATGATGGCTAAGATGCTAGCCGAAACGTATGGATTTTAAATAAATAAACTTTTAAAAAAACTCTCATACTATTTTTATTAATGTTACGCCAGAATTAAAACGCAAATGAAACATATATATCAACATCATATTCAAGACTATTCAATATATATATATATATATATATATATATATATATATATATACATATATTTAGCGAAATATATGAAATAGTTACGGTTTGAATGTCGCGCGCATGGATTTATTTTGTGAAGTTGCAAGTGGTTGACCGTGCGGACATAAGTATGAATGCATAAGGCCTAGATAAATAAGCATAAATAGATCGCTATCTCGGGCGATTTGACGTTACACTCATTTCAATTTACGAATAGATCACAACATGGCAGCACATGTACATACAGTATGTAAATTAACCCCTGGTATTACTTCTACATTTGTACATATAATCAATATAGCCAAAAAATCTGAAAAGAAATAATATTTTAAATAAGAACAAAACATATGAAATACAAAATATATTTTCAAATTTATCACAGACATATTTTTGAAGAATTATAAACTAAACAGAAATAACTGACTACTATTAATTAAAGTATATTACAGACATATTTTTAAAGTACTACAAATTGAAGAGAAATAACTTATTCATATTAATTACTTAATGACTAATAATAATATATTAAAAACTTAAAAACTAAGAAGTGAAAAGCGCAGGAGTATTGACAATGGAATAAAAAATTTAGAAAGAATGACAAGTAATGCGATAATTTAAAAGGATAAAAAGAACAGCACATTTTTAAAAAGGAACGAGTATTTCCGAAACAAAATAATCCTAAAAACAAAAAATGAACTTACAATTGACGAAATCTTTGAATAGTTTCTGTATAAGTGTTTTTTTAAAAGTAAGTAATCAAAACCTTGAACTACTTTTAATTTATACCAATTGTAGCTCAAACCTATCTATCGTTTTAATCCAGTTTTTATTGCAAGGAGGTTTAGTTAAAACTATAACTAAACCCTTGCTTTTTATAAACTGCCTGGTCTTTGAGTATACTCTCTTAATTGAGACAATAACAACATTCTTGCCCTTACATTACGTTTCCGGAATATTTGAAAACTTCTCAAAACATTGTATACTCTGTTGGAATTTATCCTTTAAATTATTTCATTGTTTGTTAATCCTTTTTAATCCCGAAACAAAATTTGATGTATCATACATCTTCTGGATGTTAAGGCACTCCTACGCCTTATCACTGCATTCTGAGGCAATTTGCAGCTACCACCAAGGACTTCTATTGAATATATTGTTATCATATTAATTAAAGATATTGTTATTATCATATTAGTTATTTTTGCTGCAATTATTATGAAAAAATACCTTTGCGGAAAACTGGTGTCATAATAGGTGACTCTTAACCTGCACTTGACAATCTCAGGGTTGCTGCAAAAATCTTTTTCAAGGTTTTTAGGCTTTCATCTCCTAACTAAAAACATAAGATTCATTTATTAATATTTTTTTGCAAATTGTATTGAAGTATTTAGAGTTATAATTACTTGTCCTTGTCCTTAGAGTTGCAGATTGTTCTTCTGGTTCTGTGTGAGAGCATTCTCCAGTGACTTGAAAACTATTATATTATTGCCGTAAAGGAGACACTTCTAATTGGTTTCGATTTCAAATTATCTTCGTTTTGTGCCACAAACCGAAGAGTTAGGTCATCCATTAAAAAATTATTCGCCCTCTGCATCCAAATTGAAAGCATCTTTTTACAAATTTTTACTCACAAATATATATATATATATATATATGTATATATATATATATATATATATATATGTTTAATTTGAGTTTAATATTCGGGCGTAACATCAATAAAAATAGTATGAGTTTTTTTAAAAAAATTATTTATTTAAAATCCATACGTTTCGGCTAGCATCTTAGCCATCATTCAGTGATAATCAAGTTAACTATAAAAATTGAAACTAAATAAATTATATGAAAGGAAATTTCATGGAAAAACAATAATAATAATAATAGTAATAAAACACTTACAATTTTGTATCCTAATATAGCGTATGAAACCATTATTAATCCATGGTATGAGTATGTGCACATTGATAAGATATGTATTTTTTAACACAAACATCACAAATGGTAAAACACACTAATAATCATGATAACTTGACAAGTTGTCGAAACTATGTATTTACTCTTCGGAGTTTAGGATAGAAATGTCACAACTTTCTCAAAGTAGTTTTTAGCATGTGTTGATATTTTTTGGAAAATTTA